TCAAGTGCGGTGGTCGTCACGTCATTTGCGGTGACACGCCCAATCAGGCTTCGAGATGTGGACTGTAATTATTTACTCAATATGAGAAGTTTAAGGGAGAAGTGATGACGCCAATTTGCTTGGGAGGACGCGGCGGCGCAGAGCTCTATCGTCTAAACTCTGAGGCTTAGTCATAAGGGCCGGTACTCTTTCGCCGCATCGTGGCAGTTTCGAAATACAAGAGCACGCGGACTAAGCCTTGCAGAGGAAGACGGACAAAGCGCCGCGCCGCCGCGTGGTCCTCCCCCCCCCCAAGTAAGTCAGCACCGAAATGTTTACCTACATTGAATGCATCATATACTCCTTTTGCGAACAGAACAACATAATCGTATGGATACGTGGGTGTTTACTTGGTTACACATAATTACGTGACCTACAAATGAGGAAGGGATCCTTTTTTAGAGGGGTGTATTTCCCATGAAAAACAGAAGCATTACACGGCCACTCTGCCCGCTAAATCTTCTACTGGAACCAGATTTGTAGGAAGACAGAAAAGAGAACCGTTTTCAAAGGGCCTGGTGGTGAGACGAAAAGGGCAAAAAGTAGAATTGATATCGAAACGAGAGATGACGGCAAAGTTGCACATCAACTTTATAGGTCAAGGAACGGCATGCGGGTCAATCGAACAAGTATTGATCTTTGTCTGCGAAGAAACTCGTGTATACAGGAAGAGTCAATAGAGCGATATTATAGGATAAATAAATAAATTTTCGCCTGAAATAAACTTCCTGCTCATCCAATTGGAGAAGATTCATCCATTGAAGAATGCATTTTATTGAGGAAGCGATGTATCATACTTTGAAGGTTTAAAAACTAAAGAAATTCGGTAAAATCTGCAAATTATCAATTGCAGGAACTTCTGGCGAAATCGGGTGTAGGTCAGGAGGTCCACTTGCGGTGTCGCGCAAAAACTAGGGCTTGCACGCGCGACTCTGCGGTGACTCACCATTATTTGGTACAAGCGCGGTAGATATGACGCGCTCGCGAAGCAGGTTCCCATCGCATTGCGACAAGTTTCACTACCTGACTGACGCCCTTATGGAAACGGATACATTAAATTCATTTTATTGACGAGAAAATTCTTCGTGATTTTTCGTCAGTAGCGCTTACACGTGCACACTCCCTTCGCGTGATTCTCCTAAACTTTGCTAAGCTGGAAATATAAAACAAGTTACAGTTTAAAAGTTTTTATTTATACACAGTATCGAAGCCGAACACAATCCTATGATTCCTCTGTATCCGGCGCCCACGGAAGTCTGCAGTACAGACTCCACAATACAATTGACGACGGCCTTCAAGTAAATCTGGTTGCTAGTTCATAGTGATAGCTGATTTTGGTAAATGATAGTTGTAATTAGTGACAACTGATAGAATACAACTGCAACAGGCTAATCATTTCATTGGCAGAAAACATTTGCATTTTGTGGAGGCCGTCGTCACTTGTGGTGTGAAGTCTGCACGCCGTCACTTATGTTCGTGAAGTCTGCAGTGGACACGCACCTGGCCGCCGGATACAAAGGGTATGTGAACTGGTTTCACTAGATCAATTGGAGATCATTTTCTTATCCTCTGGATCCGCAATCACCAAAGCCACAAGTCACAGCAATCCTCATTCCCATTCGAGGTGGTTCCTTATGGTAGACCTGTAATAATCGCATTTTTAATAGTAGAATTATCGATTTATGACAAGTGAAAGGTAAAATATTTCACTTCAACTTTTAGCATTACTTCAATTGGAATGCGTCCACATGGCCTGGTTATAATTTTTGAGTGTTCACTTAGGTCGTTTGTAAAAAAAAAAAGAATTTTCGGCACTCACAGTGTAGTCAAGCATTCCTTGGCCTTCAATGAAGGCTGACGTCTGGCCAATCGGTTTCACTCCCGGTTTTGGTCGTTCATTGTACGATTTCAGAACTGTGGGCTTCAAATTACACATTGGACCAACGATGTACAGGGTGTAATTCTGGTTGTTTTCTGTGAATTCGTATCTGAAAATCACTAATTTTAGAAGAAAAAAAATGCACATCACAAAAAATTTTGTTAGGCTACTAATTTGTCTACTGTATTTGTTTTATTTATTTCAACTATATATGTTTAGTAATTGCTATTGCAGAATAATGCCTAGCTAACAGCCTGGCTTTAGGAGGTAGCTCAGTAATTCAGTAGAACAAGTGAGAAAAAAAATACTAGAATCCCTTCCAGATAAGGCTTTTGGGAATGCGCCGTGCATGAGCCAGCGTGTTAGCACAGAAAAAGTCCCTGATGACAAGAAGCTGATTAAATCCACAAACACACTTCTAAGTGATTTTCTTGATGCGACTTTACCAAAGCAACCAATAAATCAATAAATATTGTTAATGAGAGGCGGCAGTTCAAGAGTTTTTGGACAAATCATGAAAAATTATCGATATTCCCCCCCTTCGACCCAAGAAAAAACCTTTTCAATACTTTCAAGGGCAAACAGATTTGGGTCAAGTAAAAAGTGGATATTTTTAAGCAAAACGTGAAGATCCTTTTTACTGAAACTAATTACGTAATCAGAAAGGAAAATAGCGAGGGTTCAATTAGGAATCTGTTTTATTAAGCGCACGTTTTTCAGAACAACTACTTGGCCACTGGAATAATCTGGTTGGCTGTAAGCTAAAAAACCCCGAACCACCTACATTTTGGCTTTTCCGTTCCGTTTTGAAGTGAATGGCCAGACTGGAATGATAGGATTCTGCGCAAAGACTCTCGCTTCAGCTTACAGTTGACACGCTGAGACAAGCACAGGATGGACCAATAATATCATCTTCGCTTGATCAATTTGAATTTTCCTTCTGAAGTTGGATTAATGAACCAACGAGTAAACAGTAATTTCAATCACAAATGTGAAATGTAAAATGTATGTAAAAACAGCTGCCAAATAATCGAACAATTTTTTACTGACCTGATGAAGGTGACACGTCGACTGAAAAACTATAGCCGATCACGGAATGAGTGATGATGTAGAGGTAACCCGTTCAATTTTAGGTCAGCGAACGGCGTTCAGGTCAATCGAACGCCGATTGATAGTCGTTGTCAGAGAAGGCAACACATTGAGAGATTGTAGGTACTAGTACGAGACTAAAGGTGAAATCAAGTACTCCTCATTCTTCCACAATGTGACCCTATGGAGAAAATTCATGGTCCTTGCTTTTCATTACTGAATATCATCCCCAGAATCAAAATGGTCCTTTGGAAACCTTCTTACCACTAATCACTGGGTAACCTCACCCCAAGGATGTGAATTTGTAGGTAAACATTATGCCTTAGCCGGGTTTTCAACCAGGCTAAGGCATAATGTCGTGCTTCTCAGGCGAGAGCTCTTAATAACAATTGAGGATAAATTCAAACAGCAATTTCTCCGAGTAATAATCTTTGGGGTAACCCAGAAACCTTTTGTCAAGCTCTTTCATTGCGCGATACCCATGCATCCGCAGTGCTACAGTACTGTAGCACAATGCTACTGGCAGCCACAGAGAAAAACCACGACTATGGAACCAGGTAAACTATTTATTCCATGCAAATTTTATTTATGTAATAATGTATTAATAACCATTTCACATGAAGACAACTTATTACGTTTGTATACAGAACAGTATCGCAGTCTACCCATTGAATGTATGGAAATAAAATTTAGGCGCTATCGTAAGATACGGGGGCATTGTGATGGCAATACATAAATTCTAACCCGCGTAAAAGGTCTCCCTTTTGTTGAAATTAGCACTTATCCTTTGACGTGGGGAGAGAGACACCGGAATGTCGAGCAGTTTTCATTTTCGCCGAGGTTCCTGCTCCCTCCTAGACCCTACAGGATGCCCCCGTATCTTGCGGTAGCGCCGACAATTAGTTCCTTTGTCCATCGTATCACAGTTATCGCCATAAACTTAAGATATGCTTTATCCAGATTCATCATCTGTAGGGACGTCTGTCACTAATGTCGTCCAGAACAAGCTTCAGCCTTCAACCCCTCCCGCAATCACCAAAACCACAAAGTACACCGATTCGCATTCCCATCTGTGGTGGACCATCAAAGTTGACCTAAAATGTGTATTTGCCACGATTCACATCTAGAGCAGCACAAATCTTATCTAAGTAAACGGTCCTTCCATATTTGGAATCAGCGTTTGAAGCTCTGTCGATAGATCTGAGTCTCAATTCAAGTCGCAGCGCATACTGTAGCGGTTAGGCGTCAGGTTAAAGAGAGTGTACCATACTACGTCTCATATCGCACAGCACGCGCTGCGACTCGTCTCTTTGCCGCATCTGCGTCTCTTCCTTCGCCGCGCGTGGGGCCTGTTGGGGGACACCCGTCTGGTCTTAGCTAAAACACGACGGATTTCAACCATAGGGAGCACCTTATATCCCCTCCCGTCAGCCTATAGAATGCACTTTGCTTCTCCACCTCGATGGATTTTCTTGGAAGATGATAAGACCTCATAGGCGGAATAGACCATGCATTCGACTTCCAGTCAAGTCGTGAATGTGGTTGAATGGGCAGTCAACTTTCACATTGGATTGCGAAGGCTAGCGGATGTTTATGCGTATTTTGTCCCCCTACATGAGCCTAACTCTGACTATGCCAACTTCATCTGGGACGGTAGCAAACCTTCATTAATTCAGACTTAACGTGTCGAGATTAGCTCAGACCAAAGTCAGTTTAGATAACTGGTTCAGAGCGCTTCTCAACACATTAAGTCTTGTTTAACCTACAGTTAGATCATAACCAAAAAAACCATTTTAATTAGTAGTTAGAGAGTTAACTTGTAAACCTAATTCGTAATTAGGCAGAGAAAAGAAATAGTGTGAGGTCGAGGAGGCGCAGACGCCACGTTGACCCACGAGTAAAAAGTACTCCGAAGGACTTTTTACTGGAGGGTCATACGTGTCAGACGTGGTGACTGCGCCTCTTCAATCCCGTGCTCTTTTTTCTTCTCTGACCAGCTCAACCTGTTAGGAATCAAAGAATGCAGCTGCGATCCATAATCTTCAGGTACTTTTGCAACCTTTTTTTTTCTTATTTATTCGTTTCCTGATATTTTGTCGTCTGAAATCTAAAGTAGGAAGCTCTTGCTTGATCTGGGCTGGATCGCACTCTCCATTCTTTATTCTTTGCTTAGAATCTCCGATCGTTACTTCTGATTGCGAGTTAAGGGTACTTTGCTACCGTCCCAGAAGGCTAACTTGATCCGATTTCTACCTCAAAGGCAACATGCGGCCCAAAGCCCTCAACCCTACTTATGGCCGGAAACGGTCAAATGTGTTCGCCAAAATGGTTTTTTGTGCTCCTCTTTTTTTTGCTGCAAAAAACATGGCTCAATTTTTGAGAGCGTTGCTCAAGTGAGAAAAAATAATACCACGAAAGTGGTTTGGTGAACATTTTTGACCGTAAGTGTAGCTCTGTCTTTTGCTCATATTCAAAAATTCATGCAGAAGTGAAAAAAGCTAATTTCTCACCTGATACTCAAGTTGTCCATTGCCTTCGAGGAATGCCGACGTTGGCCAATGGGTTTCCGGATATGTAGGCCGGGTCGCTTTCAGGTTACGCTCAGTCAATAGTTGGTCTCTGATTACCATTATCGGCATCAATCAAGCAGCTGTAGCTCTTATGTAATTCATCGAATTTATACCTAAACTAAAATCTTTACTCTCCTCCAGAACATAGGATAATAATTTTCACAGGGGTCGCTACGATAACAACAAATCAATATTTTATTACTTACTTCATCTTTATTTTAGTAATAAGTGATATTTAACCGTCTCTATAGTTTATTGCATATTTCTGGTTTCTTATTTTACTGATGTATTTTTTATATAATATTTATATGTCAATAATACTTGTACAGGTAGTAGAAGTAACCAACTGAAGAGGATTGAATTCATGAGTCGTAAGATTAGTAATAGGATCGGCAACCGGCGGCAGAGGAGGTGGCAATAATTGAATCAGAGTAGTTGATAAGGCTACTCTGCTGCGAGTCCAGTATCCTTCGAACGAATGGCTGCTCATAACCCTTGATTTCAGCGTGCTGAACCATCCTGATTGTGAGCTGTGTTGAAGGCCGATGTCAGACTTTGCGAATCGCGCGATTCGCTAGCGTCCGCGGTCGCGTTGCGGTACCAGCCAATTGAGTGATTCACTGGCCGCGACGCGACCGCAGACGCTAGCGAATCGCGCGATTCGCAAAGTCTGACATCGGCCTTAGGGGGCAGAGCCTGCACTAAACACTGCACCCACATTGATGAGTCGCAGCCTTCTCTCTGCAAAGTTTCGAATGGAACACACAAGGATGCCTTTAGAGTTGGTGGTTTCAACTGTAGGCAATTGGGAGCCATACTCACAACAACAGGGGAGCATATCCAATGAATGTCATTCCTTTTCAATATGTAAATGTATTGCTAAGATTTTTGTAAAACCTCTTGGAAATACATCCATTTTGAAAGAAGGTACAAGCAAAGAAAGGTGGTGCAATATTTATGGGGCATTTGCCGTTGATCAATCCCTTTTTGGGATGCGGCACGCATTCTACTTCCATTTGTACATTCGTAGTGGCGTTTGAATGCGATGTGGCCTATACAATGACTTGCGGGGGCCAGCCGATGTACAAGTCAGTGTTTTTATCCTCCCAGACAAGTCTGGTACCAATTAACCGACCCCGGAGGGATGGAGGCTTGGTTGGCCCGGGCGACTCACGACCCAGGATTTGATCCCCGGACCGCTCGCGTGGTAAGCGTGCCACTTGCCACTACACCACTTCCGCCCGTTCTCTCATACTCCACCTAGTTTTAACTAATACTTGCAATGGGATTGAAGAGCATTCCCATTTTATCAAACGATATTATACGTATTGTCCTTCTAGCTTGGCCAAATGAGAAGAATCTGCCTCGGGAACAGGATACAGAAGGTTGAACTCAGCGAGTCCTTTGAAGGATTCATTCTGACATTGTCCAAAATGGTGTTTAGCAGGCATCCGACACAATCAGAACCACTACCCTAGCAAGACGTGCACCACTAAATTGACTCAAGAAATTATGTTGCAGCTTCAGGATGGACTACTTCCGGCAGGTGTCCTGCAGCCCGGCAGCGATGGTAGATGACGTCATGTGATGGTGAGGGCTGTAGGGACGTAAGGCTTGCCTCTAATTATGGAGCGACATCTCATGAATATTTTGCCGAAAAAATTACATTGACCACGGCACCATGTGCGAGATAAAGCTTGCTTTTTGGCCTGGCTACCCTGTACATACGTGCCCCTACAACATTTAACGAACCGCTTTGGAAAAAGTTTCTCGTCTGGAACAACTTTCCTGGTAAGAGTAGTCTTTATTGGAAGAAAAACACCAACTTACACTTGGCTTTTCGTCAAGTTGGAGAAGGTGAACTGCGCCCACACCGGATTGGGTTTACTAGAGAAGACTCTCGCGGTCAATTTACATGTTGACACCATCGAAATGAGCACGAATATTGCCAGAATCATCCGTGAGTTCTTTGTCAGCTGAATAATATAGAACTTGTTAAGCGCTATTTATCTGCTCTTGGAATGCGCCACGTCTTTGACGTGTACTCCAAATTGTGTTTCTACTTAAAGATTTGCGACTTGTGACCCTCTATCTATTGAGTAAGCCGTTCTTTTGTCTTCCTATAGGAGTTTAATTGTTATGAATGTAATCTGACCTATGAGACTTAAAAGGTTGGACAGGTTTGAAGGTCCTTTCTTCAGGTTTTAAACCTCGCCTTTAAATACAATAAGCAGAGGTTGCTGCCGCAATGAGAGCCTCTTCTTTGATGAGCGTTAGGATTGTCTATGAGAGTCGGGTGGAACTCTGAGGATGTTGCAGCTATACATCAAGATCAAGAAACGCCTCATGTCCTTAGGGGGCAGGCGGCATCACAAAAGCCGACGGTGAGGCTTGGATTAACCCAGGCAGAGGGACGAAGTCGCCTGATGGAACAAACACATTGCTCACAATATACCAGAATCCCTTCCCCTGCTAGGCTCTGTCCGGAACACAGCAATTGGCTCGGCTCATTAACTTAATAGTCCCCCCCCCCTTCAACGACATGAACGCCGAAGAACTAATCAAAAATGTTGAGCTATGGACAAAACTTTCAGCTTGTGCGCCTCCGGTGGTGTCATTGATGGCCACCAATTACAGGAAGCGAGCGTCGTCGGGTTCATTTCCTTTGCTTGTAGAAGTTTTGCCCGTAATCAACACAACATTTCATGTAGGTAACTTCCACATTGACGGATTTGTACCAAGAACAACAGCTAGCAATTGAAAGTAGGACAGGAAATTATTTTCTGGAACGAGCAACGATTGAGGTTGTGTTGCAAATCAAACAAATGTGACTCCAGTGATGATGGTTTTTTTTGAAGAAATAAAGGATAGTGCTAACATAGCGAAAAATCACTTGGCT